ATTTGATTGTGAAAGAAAATAAGTACAGTTTTGTAACAGTGGCCGTGCGAGATCACTTAACATTTGAGTAAAAAATTTGATTTGATATAAAGACTTTAATGAAAAAATTCAAATTTAAAAAAGAAAAACTCAAATTTAAATGAGGGAAAACCTAAATTTAAAAGAGAGTAAAGATGATGACCATTGAATGCTTAAAAGAGTGTAAAATCTCACCATTAAAGATTTGAGTAAGAATTTGAGTCTCCCTTGATTTGAGTAAAAATTTGAGTCTCCCTTAAATTGGTATAAGTTTGAGTCAAAGTTGGAGCAATTTTTTTATACTTTTTTACTCAAATTTAAATTTGAGTAAGGGCCGAAGATGCCATAAGAACAATTTTAGCCTTTTCATCCCAAATGTGTATATAATCAATCCAATGGGTTATAAATTTGATCCGACTGTGTCAGATTTTTTATGGTCAAAATTTTTTGTTATTTTCTAAAATATTTGATTTGCAAACAAATGAATATGCTTTCCTAATAAGGTTAGACTCCCAATTAATATATCATTGAAACTTCCTATTTGGTAAAAAAACTAAATTTGGTAGGTCTTACTATTTAATTTTTGGCTTATTTGATAAATGACAGTTGAATTATGATCTAAAGACTCACATAAAAGGTATCCCTAAGGCTATGGTGTGAAATTTTCATAATCGCAATATATATATATATATATATATATATTATTTATTTATTATTTATAAAATAAAGGAGCTAACATTTTTTATCTTAAATTTTTCGTGAATTAAATCACTTCAGTATTATTGATCCGATGATCCTAATTAATCTTCAATTTTTTTTTTCAGCCCAAGAACAAACCTCTCATCACAGCACTCTACACTCCTACAAGACTTTACTACACTCCGTTTAACTCTTCTCATTCCCATTCATATGTCTCATTTAGATCTCTCTCCTCATCTTCATTCTCGATCTCAACTGAAAATACATCTCTCATACGTATAAATCTCCCACTCTATCTATTAAACTCTACACTCCCACCTAAAATACATCTCTCCCAATATGTATACGTCTGTCTCTCACTCTCTTTCTCTTAACTTTTCTCTTTATGGGCTGCCATAGCGCCACCGCCATAGCACCATCCCCTTTCCTTTCCTCTATTCGTCAGAGACAAAGGTATGCAATTTCTCTCTCTATTCACCAACCATCGCCCATGGCCTCTCTTTCCTCCTCTGCCATTGATGAAATATTTTCTACCCATCTTTGACAATGGTCACATAGGTTTATATGGACAGACTGAAAATCAATCAGAATTGAATAGGCTTTTTCATCCACTAATTAATTCTGGTACCTTTGCAAACCACAACCTCCAAAGAGAAGCATACCACCACGAGGAGAGAAGTTGAATTTCTTATATCAAAGATTTGTTGGGCATTGATTTATTGGATTGAACTAATTTATTATTTTTCTAGGCATTGGTTTTCTTGATGCTGTAGTTCTTCTTCTTTTTTTTTTTTGGGAATTTTGTGGGCCGGTACAATATCTAAGAAGTTTTGGTGGAAAAGTATTATTGTACGCAAAACATGTTGGACAAAAGTCCATTGTGACATGAAAAGACAAAAATTTTTTTTTACGTATTTAAAAATAGAAATTGAAAAGTTTCCCATTAAACCGCTTTTTAAGAAACCCATTAATGAAATCCCATGTTTTATGCAAAATTCCTTCACATTCTGACCGACATCTTCCACTTTCTTTTTTTTACTCATTACATCTTTACACTTTCAACGAAAAGTTCTAAAAAATCCAAACCATTTGCATTGCCTTTGTTTGAATAACATTGTTCTAAAGACAAAGGCTGTTGGGATCTTTGGCTTGAACAGACTCCGTCGAAGTTGTTGATGTTGTCCTTGTTTTTCCGGCATTGTTGAGGGGTTCTGACGTCATCAGAAGGAGTTCCGACATTCTCACTGACTCTGTAACAGTAAGTTTTGTGGTTTTTTTGTTTTTTATTTTTATGAATTAAACAAAAAAAACCCAAATCATATGTATTAATTTGGGCAGTGATTTCATTTTTTTTTTGAACTAAATGCTTAAAAGTTTTAATTATGTTTACTCAAAAATTTAGCTACAATAATTCCGATTTGAGTTTATGTTCAATGTTGCAATATACAAAACTCAAATAAAAAATCCCAAAAACCTTACTGTTTTGTTACTTTTTTTTTTTTTAATTTTTTTAAAATTTTTAAATGATATCCATCAAATATTTAAATGATATATAATACATAAAATTCATTTGAAAGTTTTGTGCAATGTTTCATTGTGTAATTGCTAGGTTTTGGAAAAACCAAATCATATGATTAGATGTCCTATTTTGTTAAATTATGCTTTTTTTCAACTATGAAACATTGTTACTGTTTTACATCATTGAATATGGATAAAAATTTGTATTATTTGTTATTTTAGAATGATGTAGCAGTATTGCTGCAATTTCATGTAACACTTTGTTGTAACTCTTTTAGAACTTAAAATAATGTCACTGTTTAATGTATAATGTCACTCCTTTAGAACCCTTTAAAGATTTATGTTTACGCAAATAATAAGCTACAACAATTCCATTTTGAGTTTATGTTCAATGTCCCAGTATACAACCCTCAAATAAAAAATTCCAAAACCATCATATTTAAGATAGTGTTTTAAATGATAATTAATACATAAAATTCATTTCAATTTATGTTCAATGTTGCATTGTGTAATTGCTATGTTTTGAGTAAACCAAATCATATAATTAGATGTCCTATTTTGGTATATGATGCATTTTTCCAACTAGGAAACATAGTTACTGTAGTTCATCTTTCTATATGGATAACAATTTGTACTATTTGTAAATTTAGTATGATGTAACACTATGGTATTGAGGATTATATACTGATAACCTATTGTTGATAATTCCGAGTGATACAACATATATTGAATTTTTTCCTTGAGCTTCAAATATGGCCAAATAGTTATGATGGTGACAGCCTAATAACACACTATGGAACAATATTGATACATTATATTCATATTAATTAATAATCCGTGGAAAGTGTTATACACATTGACAACATACAATGGAAACGTTATAATGATGCAATTTCATGTAATATTTTGTTGTAACTCTTTTAGATACTAAAATAATGTCACTCTCTTAGGACTCTTTAAGTTATAAATCTATTGCTTGGGTAATCATTGTATTTGTTGAATAATTTATAAAAGATTTATGAAACTTAATCCACAAAAGTATATATGGACGACTAATTTAATGAATTGTATTTCTTTTATAGTCACAATTAAATAAAAAAAAATTATGACTATTAAATTATCATTGAATAGAGGCTAAAAAACAAACAGATATAACATACAGTGACAAGATATATTAATATTCAAATTTATTCTTAAATATCTAATTTTTTGTTGTGAACACATGACATGGCAAAAACACGATCTACATCAATGAAAAAAACCTAGGGGAAACGAAGGGGAACATTGGCAAGGAATGTGGTGGGCTCAACATCTGGTAGAACTAGTAAGGAAGCAATAAGAGTTGCTGAAACAAGTGTGAAGGAAATGTCACTAGACCCACAGTACAGATCAAACATGCTTGTAATCATAAGGGCCATACATGAAATTATGTTGCAGGAAGAACACAAAATTTCGTTGCAGAAAACTCCTTTTTGGTTGATCTTTGAAAGTATCATAGAGAACAATTTTGTGAAGTCATGGTGAAGGAAAAGTGACAACAACATACTACCTATAATTTTGTGTTTCAACCCCGAGACATCAAAAGTCAGGATGGTGGAGAGAGTATCAAATTGAGGAAAACTGATGTCACTCTAAGATTCGGAATTGAAGATGGCAGTGAGACAATAAATGTAGCAAACCATGGAAAGGAGTTGACGACATTCGTTCAACAGAGGTTCAAAAATGATGATAGGTTGTCTGCATCATTGATAAAAATAGGCTGAAACAAGTAGTAGATGAGAACACACAGGAAGACTATGATGACGTAGAAAGACTATTATGTCTATACATTCTGGTAACTTTGTTCTTCACAAACATGGGGCACACACTTGGATGGGGGGTTATGTCCTATATGTGGAGAATTTGATTGGTCAGAGGCCATACATGGTGCACTTATGTCATCATTGAGGAAAAAAAAGGAGCTCTCCATCAATAGTTACTGGATGTGTCTATCTTATACTTGTAAGTTGACTGTACAAAACTCGTTAGTTAGCTTACATATGGAAACATGAAAAAATATGTTTTGACCCTTTTTTTTTCTTTCCGTTTTTTGAAGTTCTGGCTTTGCAAGCACACAACACTGATAAATCCTGAAAAACCAAATGCATTTCAAAGATTCTTAAAGTGGAAATTACCAACTCTAAAAAGGGTTATCAAACAAGGGAAGTTGCAGAAAATTTAGCATGTCTATTTTGTAATGAGTATAGTTAATTATTTTGAAGTAAATATGCTTAAATTGTCATGGTGTATTTGTCATACTGTTATAACTTGTTCTCTTTATTCATAATGACAACATATCATGAAACTATTATAATGTTACTCTGTTAATCTGTGACTTTTGTTTATATGTATAGGTTTTGAAAAAAAGATTGAAAAAAAACCAAGGAAGAGCAGAATTTAATGAAAACAATTCAGCACATAAAACCAATGATTGGAACTCACAAAGAAATAGGAGCAACAAACTTGGAGGAGTCCAATGAGGAAGGAACAATGGGTGAAAAACAATATGCATAACAAATAGTCAATGACATATTTCATTAAAGTGATGATGAAGCCTTGTTTGATTCTGATGATGATATTGTGGATATAATTGGAGATAATGAGAATCAAATAGAGAACTTTGAAACATTGCTCGATGTTGTGAGCTTTGATTACACACAAAGGGATGGTAAAAAAAGTTTGAAAATGCAAAAGCATGTGGTGAAAAATATTTGACTTGTGTACAGGTGGAGATATAGGAAAATTCAATCAACAAATAGCATTGGGGTGCTAACAATAGAAAATGAAGAGTTGCAAAAGGTGATTAGAAGCCTGGAAAGGAATGAAAAAAATAAAAAACAAGCGGATGAACATTCAGATGATGTTGTCATGGAAAAACATGTCACCGAGTTCGTGATAAAACTGATTGAGAAAGATGCACAAATTTATGAGTTAGAGAATCTTGTGAAATCTTTGAAGAAAGAAAATAAAGATGTAAAGGCTAAAATGGCACAACTTGAAGTAAAGAATGGAGAACTGATCGACCAGATTAGCAAGTTGCCTGTGCATGCCATTACTCAACGGTTCCATAATTTGTCAAATTCAGTTTAGATTCATGGCATAACAATAGAAAGTGTTGAAGAAAAAGAACAAGTCCAAAACACAACATCAAAAGCAGGGCAATCTTCCATGGTTAGAAATATCAAATTGAAAGAGAGGAAGAGGAACAGAGATGCAGATTATGAATACAGTGGGAAGAAAAGAGGAAAGAAACAAGATATCACATTGTATGAATTGGAAAAAAGTAACGGGATTGACGAAGTAAGAAACCAAATTAAATGTGGATTTATTAACATTGATGACTCAAATGGGGAGACCGCTACACTGAAAGAACCAAGTAAGAGAAAAATTAATAGGTGGTGGAAAGGGTGCAAAGCATTGGGTCTCCAAGAATACAACAAATTGAAGCGAATCCACGACTTGACTGGTAACAAGTATGTATCAAATTTGGTAACAATATAATATATATATATTTTTTTTCAAGTCATTTTTCTTGAAAATATAAAAGTTTTTCAAGCCATTTTTCTTCTATTTTTAGCCTATTTCCTCAAGATTTCTAAACCCTCCTTCTGACATCCTTCCCACCTATTTAAAAGGTGTTTTACACACGTAACAAGTCTTTTAATTTTTTCATAAAATTTCGACATAACCTCTGTTTTTCAAGCCTTTTTCCCACCTAATATTCACAATATCTCATATGCATAGTTATATCACCACTCACCCTCACTCGGTGGCCACAATCTATGTAAATTAAACATACCTCATTTGTTTTCAACATACACATCTAGTTGTCTCAATATACACATATGATACTCATTACATAAAGATATCCTACATATCAATTGGGTTTATTCCCTTACACTTTAAAATGATCCAATTTCTATAATCCATTATTTTTTCAAATTGAAATACAAGTCATTTGGGCTTATACCCATACATATAAAATATGCCCAAGGGCCAAATATCCATTCAAGTCCCTTTTCCCTCCTTTCTTTAAGACTTCCTCAAGTCTCAAGTATCGGGAACCTCATCTGTAATATGATATTCCATGAATGGATCAGCTCAATTGCTGGTATGACAAAGTGCTAATGCTAGGAACAAATATAAGGAGTGACATGTGCAAGTGTACATTTTAAAAGCTACAACCCCATAATCTCTCTATACTATGCACTGTCAATATGCATGAAAAACTCATGCAACTCTATGCCACCCATGTCTCACTTCATAGTCCGCCCTTGTCAGCCCGTGAGTACTATCATTGGCCAGATTTTAGATTTTTCAAATAGGATCTGCACCCTCATAATGCATAACACCAAGTGCTCAACCCATACTATGTTCCAAGGATTTATGTATGCCAAGATGCCATGATTTTTCTCAATGTGAATTCTATGAAACATTTCATCAAACGCCTTATCTACATGAATGTGAAGCACCACTCAATGGATTAAACATATGATCAAGTTTCATGTTCATTACTTTCACAATTTTTCAAGGAAAATACAAATACACAAACTACAAACTCATGGGATAAATCATAACCTTCAAACCACAAGAGTTTCTCTACATGAACATAAGCTAGAATATAATAATCCAACACATCTACAAGGTACACCTTCATCATAATAACAAACTGTCAAGAAACTCAAAAACACAAAAGTACTTATACTACTAACTCTAAGTTTTCAAAGCAACCACCACCTAAGTGATTTTACAATATCAAGTAAACACCTAAATCATTCAATTAACACATAGAAAGGTAAGAAAACTTAAATCTATTCCTAATTTAGCAAAATATCATACCTAAAATAATTTTTCTCAAACCAAGGGATTTGTGTTTGCTTAAAACCCGAACTGACCGGTGAGAATATAGCCCTTATTGAGAGGAACAACTTCTTAGAAGGAAGTCTTGCAAGAATCTTGGCCTAGGAACATGTTTTGGTGGCTTGAAGCTTGAAGAACATAGGATTTTTCTTCATTTTCCTCCTTAAATGTGTATTGCTCTATCTCCAGGCCAAATACTGATATTTTTATACTAAGGGGGCTGTATTTATAGTGGAGGAAAAATGTGACGCCCCTAAAATCGGGGGTCCCATTGACCATCCGTCAACCCGCAAAAATATCCATGATTGCCACATGACTTGACATATCGTCTATCACATCCCTGTAACCGGGATTATAACTCATACAAGGAACCGTGTTTCCTTTAATTCATTTAATCCTATTGAGGTTCTATATACCCCAACATATCTCATTTTATGTCCATTTGTATAATTGGAACTAAAGAAGACAAAGCTCAAAAGGTTGGTAAAACAATTTTAAATTTTTCAGATTTTGGGAAGAGTTATCGGTAGGTGTTTGTTATGACAACCGGTAGAAGTTCTACCTGTAAGCTACCGGTAGCTTCCTCCTACTGGACAAGTACTACCTGTTAGCTACCGGTAGGTTTCGCCTGCTGGATGGGTACTACCAGTTAGTTACCGGTAGTTATTGCCTAGAATTTTATATTTCATCAGTTTATGATTTCCAATTCAATCAAAACCCCTCCAAGTTCAACCCAAACATGTATAAAGATGTTTTCTACATTATACATGATTCATCCAAGTCTATTACAACTCATTCCATACAATTTACATGTCAAAATGGAATTAAACCGAAAGTTTTACAAAACTTTATAACAAAAGCCACATTCTGGCTTTTCTTTATCTTTGAGGCCCCGAATGTGAGTCCTCCACCGGTACGAACCCCGCACTGAAATGTGTTCCTGTATAGGGTGAGCCAACGCCCAATAGAAAATTTCCTACAAGGGCTACTCCCCACCTAAGTGCATATGAATGTATTATGCAACAAAACACATCCAAAATCCATTCCAATGCAAGAATATGTAATTCATGTTGGAATTTACCATGCCATGCCATAAATGAAATGAGATTCACTCCCGCATTTTAACCCTGAGCCTATCCCGGCTCCTCAACACATGCATATGTCAATGCATACAAAATCGAGCCCTTCTAGCTCCCGCCATTTGTATTATCCTCTAAATGGCTATTTAAAATCTCCTGGTCTTTTATTTGGGGTAGATATTTATGGACTTACACCAACGGCACCCAACCGACACAGAATTTATAGACTTTCACCAACGGTTCCGCGTACACTCACACACTTCTTGGGCTCTTATACCAACGGAGTGCGTATCCAATCATCGGGCCTCTCACCCGAGGAATAGTCTAGCCCTTCTTACTGCCTCGACCCAATTTTTCATGCATGCAACCATGCGACTCAGTGGAATCTTCAACTCCAATTCCCCGAGCCCACCGTCAACCACCATATGTGGTATTTGATTAAACTATGCACTACACATACCCACACTCATGCCTAAGCCTATAAATGCGATGTTATAGTATGCCCAAGATGCAATGAATGCCAAAAGAGCAATTTAACCATATATTCACATATCCCATGACAATTCATATCATAAGCATATAAATCCCATGAATCATTACAATGTAAATATATCAATGAGCAAGTATTAACATTGCTTTTCCAACTCATTTTCTAAGCATGTTATACATTATCATGTCATAACAACTTAATCCACACATAGGCATTTTTGGCAAACACCTTCAAGGCAACAATTTATGTTATCACACAAAAATTTTCACCTCATTCACCAAGCATAATATAAAACATATAGCATGCCCAAAATATTAAATTCCAATGAAATCACACAAGTACATTCCTTATACCAAACTTAGCTAGGAATTGGTCTAGGCCAAATTTCATACCCATTTCCTCATTTTCATAACTATAGTCAATGACCTAGGTTATTCCTTACCCTTACCCCATTCCAAATACACCCTAGGTAAGAAAGTGAACCAAAGTAGGAGAAATCCTACCTCTTGAAGTAGAAAACGACTTTGGGAAGCTCCAACAACCCAAAATAATCTTGAATCCTCACTTCGCCAAAATCTCATTTTTCAACCATTGGTGAAACCCATCGTTTTTGGTGTGGTTGCGTAGCCTCGGCGAGAGGAACAACTTTAATCCTTGGCCCGTGTGGATTTGAGCTTCGTAGCCTCCTAAATCGTATGGAGAAGGTGGAGAACTTCTCTTGTTTCCCTCTCCTCTTTTCTCACGTTAAACCGGCTGAGGAATGGGGGAAAAATCTGATTTTCCCCTATTTATACCCTCTATTTACTTGGCTCACATTGTTTGCCACACAACCTCTTTTTTCTAGGTCCGTTTTCGTTCCGAAATGATTTAATTTAGCCCCAGTTCAACTTCAAATTCATGTTATTTTAATTTACCTTAAATTATTTTCTAAATTTTAAAATTTTATTAAAAATTCCATTTTTGGGTCACCCAAGACTCGATCGCCTCGTAAAATGTAAAAAATCAGACTATCTCAGAATTTGATGAAATTTGACATGGTAACTAGATTTTGTGAGACGAGTCCAACAGTGAGATCCGTTTCGTCATCTGAGATCTAAAAAATATCAGGTTTTTAACCTGTAATATAACGATAAAATTACTATTTTGCCCTTGTTTACAAAAGTTTAAATTTACCGAGTTTTACATTCTCCCCTCCTTAAAATAATTTCGTCCCCGAAATTCACATACATATATACATTCAAACACATGCATATGTAATAGTCATGCAATACTACAAGACTGTAAAAGTGTATCTCCATCCTCAAATAAGAAGGGATAATTGGTACGGATAGTGTCCTCGCGCTCCCATGTCGCCTCTTCCACTCCTCGGTGCTGCCATAGCACCTTCACTAGCCACACAGTCTTACCTCTCAAAACTTGCTCCTGGCTATCCATGATGCGCACCGGTCCCTCCTCAAAGGTCCCATCAGCATCAACCACAAGCTCTCCCTAATCCACCATATGAGTCGTATTTGGGGTGTATTTTCGGAGCATAGAGACATGAAATACTGCATGAACACCCGATAGATTTGGCGGTAACGCTAACCGGTAAGTAACTATACCAACCCTCTTAAGTACCTCGAAGGGCCCAATATAGCTCGGCGACAACTTTCCCCGCTTAC